TGTGCTTTTTCCTAGCAGCGTGGTGAGGATCCTGAGCCAGTGTTTATCCAGCAAACCGTGGCAAGTACCAGTGCAGGGTAGGATGAACTTTTAATTTTGGCCTGAAAGCAAAGTTCTCATTAATTGGGAACATTGAAATCTTTTAACGTGATTTTTTTTTTCCCATTACAATTCTTATGCTGTAAGAAAACTGTGTAATCATCCATGCAAATATTTCCACGTTCACCAGCATAGTTAGCAATAGGCTTTTTTTACCAGTGTGCACAAGAGAAGGGAGTTGCTGAAGTTCAGCAAAATAAATTATTCTCCCTGGCTGTGTTGGAAAGCATGCCCTGCACCTATATTATTACACCTGTTTTCAATGATGGGTTTATCAGTTGCTTAAAAATTGCTCCTGTCTCTGGCTGGGCTACAAGGAGATACTGTATTATCTTGCTTCTCATCTAAAGTGTGTCTGGCATTCAGTCTTTAAAATCTTACATTGAAACACAATGTTTCATTAGCTTTGAAGGAGACAGGACTATTTCTAAATATTGAAAAGAACTGTGAAAATAGGATACAGAAATACAGAGATGGGAAATCTGAAAAATTAAGTTGGGAAAGGGGGAGAGAGATAAAACTCCTGAAGGGCTGAACAGCAAATGCAATTGTGAGTCAAGGAAGAAGGAGTTGGACTTCAGAAAGAAGGAACAGAGACCACCCTTGGAGACCTTTTGAAGGAGCAGGGAAGCAGAAGGCTAATAAGAAAAAAAGTCAACAAATCTGACAAGGGATGTTGATAAGGAATGACAGTATTAAGTGAAGGAGGATGTGTAGTGGAGAAGTTAAAAGTGTAAAAGGCAAAGTAGAGTCCAAGGTTACAGGTAATAGATGAAATAAATATTTATATGGGGCAAAAGCACAGAGGTGCTCCTTCACCCTGCTGTTGGGTGAGCAGAAGGAATTAGAGGAGCAGAGACTGTGTCAGCTTTCATCCTCCTTGCAGCTGAAGCAGTAGTAAAAACAAAGCCAAAGCAAACGTGATGATGTTGCTGTGTGTGGGTGTTGAGGTTTGTGTCCGGGCTGCCATTCCAGGCTGGCTGATGTGGAGCCTGTCCGGGAGGGTGCTCATCACCAGCGCTGCCTGCTCAACCCCGGGACACAACTTGTGTCTCTAGGAGAAACTTCACTGGAGGGAGGCAGGGGGCTGAATTGATTGTGTATAGATAAAGTAAGTTTTAATCTATACACAAGAAGGGCTCCAGAGTTGTACAGTGTGGAATTTCTATATGAAATGGTTAAAATCTGTGTTTCTATGCTGATTTCTTGTGTGAGCAATTGTAAAACTCGACGCTGCCATTCATTTAACTGTGTAAGATACTGCAAATCATGAAGCTGCTAGCTTTTAATTTGTATTTTTTTATTGTATAAAATATTGTGGTTTTACTTTATTTTGTGCACATGAAATTGTTTTTAGACTTGGAAAGTGTTTTTTTCTGGTATGGTACAGCTTTTCATTTTAATTTGAAAATGCCTTTTTTTTACTAATATCATTTATAAATGCATCAGTTTGGACTAAATCCTTCAGGCCATTCTGGGACAAAGGATATTAAAGAGTCTGTATTTTTATTTGTTAATTATTAAAAGTAGTTGAAAAGACTGAAGTAGATTACACTGTTTTACAACTAGATTTTCATATCTGACCTGAGTTAGTGGATGCTAAAAGTACATTTTGCATAAGACCTTGTCTGGGCACTTCTTCTTACAGACGTGGTTTTGATGGGTAGAAATGAATTTGCTAAGCTTTCACATATCTTATGTGCCTTTGAGGATGGCCCATTAATAATATTAATACATAGGTATTTTCCATTGTTGTATGCAAGGCATTTTTTAGAACTTTGAAGCTAAAGTCTTTTTTTTAACACACGGACCTTTTCAATTTAATCCATTAGCAACTTGGCAAAATAAAGTAATTGTCCAGCAGAGGAAGAAAAAAATCTATTAACATTTGCTACAAATCCGAGTAGTACAGGCAGCACTTAATTAATGGAACAGATTTCTCACTATGTGTTCAAGCTAACATAGCTATTGTTCAACAGAGATTAGACCCTTAATGTAAGTTAAACTAGACCTTCATCTAAAAATGTCCGTCATTTCAGCTATTAAAGCTCTGATGTCTTCTTCGGTGACAGATATATTTCCCTTCATTTCCTTGGTTTTGTAAAATGTAAAGTATGCATTGTGTGTAATGTGAGAAATCCAGGGAGGTAGATGAAACCCCGATTGTGCCTGTCTCCCTGTGCCTGCTCCTTTGTGCTGCTCCCTGTCTCAGAGCCTCCTCAGCCCTGAGACCTGCTGGCACCAGAGCAGAAAAACAGAAAATGCCATTTGTCAGGGTATGATGCCAGCCACCTAATCTGTTTGCAGAATGAGGGCCATGGGATCTGATTAGGTAATTTAGATACCGTGTGAGTTCAGTAATACCTGAGCTGCTCTTGGCTGTCAGCCTGTCACTTCACTGGTAGCAACTACCACGTTCTGCCATTTTCTCTGTAAACTTCTTACCTGGAATACCTTATTTAGTCCAAATAGGTGTTAAGTGCTGCAGGTGAGGTATACCTTTACTTCTTCTATGTGGAAGTTGGTGATAGGGTGGAGGAGGTGGTATGGCTCAGTTTTAAATGCATTTTCCCCAGCAGAGTTCCACATGCAGCTTGTCTTTTTTTCTGGAAAACAAAATTTTTCAGACACGAGATGCATTGTTTGAATGCTGCAGATGCTGTGCCAGGTTTCAGTTGTGTTGGACCATCCGAGCTGATGTCACTGATGGGTTTGAAACTCAGTTTATCCACAGTGGTTACTTCACCCTCGTGGCTGAGACTTCCCCAGCTTGCTGCTGCAGCCGAGGGTCTCTGTGGGGTGAGAGGCCAACCACTGCCATGTCCCTGTGGGCAAGGGCTTGCAGAGGCAGCCTGAGCTCTTCAGATACCCATAAGGGAAAATTTTGGCTGCAATTTTAATGCCACATCTCCTCCCTTCCTCTCTCCTTTCCGCCAATTAGCATTTTTTGGAAATTAGAGTCTCGCAAAGGCTGCTAACATAAATAAAAGTGTTTTAGGATTTGTTTGCTTTAATTAAAATGTGTCTTTCTGAAAGGATTTAGTTAAACATCTTTCTTAAACAGTGCTGTGCCAGTAACAGCAACATTTGTAATAGTGATAAGACCCAGAAAGGGAAACCAACTAGAAAGCAAAATGAAATGTTTCTTTGTCCAAAAAATAAATGGTCGTCTCAGGAAAGTGGAGGAAACCCAGTGCAGGGACAATTACAATTAGGTTGATCAAAACAGAAGAAAACATGAAGTATTAAATAAATTCTGCAAAGGTATCGAGTGGGGCTGTGTGAGGTCACTCTTTCTGCTGTTTTTCTTTTGTTTTCCCCTTTTTTGACTGTTGCTATTTTTTTTCTAGCAGCACCCATGATGCTCTCAGAGCTTTCCAAATAGGAAATAAGTTGCTTTTCATGTAGTGATAAATTATTTTTCGTAGTGAAGATGGAGTGATTGTAAGGGTAATGCTATTAATGGGATTTATATGAAAGCATCCAATTAAAAAATCGAAACAGCTGCATCAAACATGACTCTACAATGTAATAAAATCATATAATAAATATGTGGTCCCGCCACACCGTATTACCTAGTTTGATTAATTGAACCTTACATGTGCAAAGATAGTCATTATCAGGCTTCTCAGCCATCAAGGAAGAACAGTCTCAATTATTGTCACAATGAAATAATCATTGCTTTTTTTGTGTCCTGCCATCTGGAAAGAGAAAACAGTAGCTGCCATGACTGTGAAATGCATGATCTTGCAGAACTGCACAAAGTTGATTCTGCTTGATGCTGGACTCCTGCAGCCTTAGTGTGGGCTGTAATTTATTTAGTTATATACAAGATGTGTTGCTTTTCTCCTCTTTTGAACCCTTGCACTTCCCCCCCCCCTTTTTTTTGTTTGTTTGTTTTTTGGTTTTGTTTTTTTGGTTTTTTTTGTTTGGTTGGGTTTTTTTGTTTTTAGTTTGTGTCTTTGTTTTTGTTTTATTTATTTGGGGTTTTGTTTGGTTTTTTTGGGGGGGCTGTGCATAGTTTGGGGTTTTTTTGTTTTGTTGTGTTTTGTTGTTGTTATTTTTTTGTTTGTTTCAAAAAAAAAGATCCCTCTCTGTGTGGAAGTCTCCCCACTGCAGGGCCCTAGGGATGGTTGGCAAGTGGGCAGTTTGCTGGTTTTGCTTCAACACTTTCCCATTTCCTCCCTTCCCTTGGCCCTGCAGTGGGAATGCTGCTGCAGCAGTTTTCTCCCTGGCACAGCAAGATGGGAAGGTGGGCTCTGGGGCTGTGTCCCCTTGCCATCAGCTGGGAGTGCCCTGCATGTGTCTGAGCTGGAGCAGGTCACCTGTGCCTGTAGACCTCCTGTCTCCAGTAAATCATAAGCATCTCAATCTTTTTGTCAGGCCGTGATATGAGAATCCGCATCTGAATTTCAGTATGAAGAGAGAGAGGCTGATTAAGTGTTTGAGATAAGGTTATGTGACACCACAGGTTAAAAATACCTGAACTGATTTTGGCCCAGTGCCTGAAAACCACATTGCAGCGTATTCAGGTGGCACTGAAAAGGCTTCTGAGGAGTTTGTTGCCTTCTGCTTTATGCAAGCACTTCTTCAGGAGTGGTCTTTTAGGAGCTGCATCTCTCTTGTTTTACAGTTCTTTGGACTTTGCTGTCTTGCATTTCTTATATAAAATGTTAACAGTGTGTTGACTTTTAAGAAAAAAATAAAGGTGTCATAAACCTTGGCCATTTAGGAAGAAAAGGACAAATTTTTCCAGATGTCCATTTCCACAAATGTCTGGAGAAGCAGATCCCCAAAACTCTATGCAGCTTAATTCTAGTGCCCCTAAGCAATAAGCAGTGCAAGTTGAAACCCCTAGCAAATATTTTGTCTTAACAAAATAAAAACAAAACAAAAACCCAACAAACAAAAACAAAACCGGTATAATTTACAATGTGCAAGTTGTAAAAAAGCTTCTGATAAATCCAGAAAATAGGCTTAACGAAATTCAAGAATTTTCTGAGTCTTGTGACTCTCTATAATTTTAGTGTTTTACCAGTTATTTTTTATTCATGACTTATATTTTTATAAATATTCTTAGTGATGACAAGAAACTTTGGGTATACGTCTAAATAATAGGAAAGACCTGCCAAGTAAAGACTTAGGTCTGGCCTGTTTAAATTCTTGTCTGTTTTTAATACTTTAAAAAGCTGTAGATGGACACTGAAGGATTCAGGATACTGCACTGGACTTGTGGTATCACTGTTGTGAACTTTATGTTTAAAGACTTCTCTTATTTAATGTGTAAATTACCATATTGCAGGAGTCTTATGCAGAAATGTTACTTCCCTAATGCATTTGATTTACTTTATTTTCTTTGGTTGATTTCAGATGAAAATATGCCTGCTTATTTTTTCTAGTTCTCTGAAAGGTGATGTTGAGTGTGTTAGTCACGTGTGTTCTTGTTCTTTTGCAGATGGGCTCAAGCCAGATACCAAGATGCTGCTAACTGCTGCCTCCAAGAAGAAATCGAAGGGAGGGAAGGGGGATATGACCAAGGAGGATGAAAGCAGCAAGAATGATTCAGCCCAACCTGTTACTGTCTCTCTTATCTTTAAAAGATATGTTTTTGACACACAGAAGAAAATGATTCAATCCTGAGGAGGCGTCTGATTACACCCCAAAGTCCAGACCCTGAAATGCATTGAGGTGGAACGTGTTTCTTGTCCAAACACATTAAACCTGTTTCTTCCTCACAAACAGAGCCTGGAAGCTCATGGTGACTGTGCCCCCTTCTGCAATGTCTGCAATCTCATATTGCTCTGTTCAAATTTGCTTATTTTGTTATCTCTCTGATGTGCATCTTTATGGCATCTCAGAGAATCTCACCTGCTGGATGAACACATTTGAGTGTATGTTCTAATTGCACTGTTTTCCTGGATAATTGTCTTGAAGTTTCTCTTGATTTAGAAGTTTGCCATCAATATTAATCTAAATCAAGTCAAGATGTGAATTTCATGTGACCCACAAAGTGAAGCTGATTATTCTAGGCTTACTTCCTTGAGCAAAGTGGGAGACAGAAGGCACACTATTTAATAGGTGAAACCTAAAATGGATGTTTCACATTCCTTCAGTTGCAACTATGTAAGATGTTATCTGAGTGATGGTATGGATGTTTTTTATAAATATGATTTATATCTAGAAATGTTTTTCATATTAAACATAATGATCTGTGTAGCTGAGAGTCTTAATTTTTCAATTTGCTGTTCCAAAGGTTCAGAATTTATCGTCAGTGACATTTTATGTAACTTCTCTGATTTTCCTGCCTGTTCTGCAATGAATCCTATTCCAAAACTGTTTTCTTTTTCTTTTTGCTTTTTTTTAAATTTTGTAACCAAAATGCCTTTTGTGTGTGAAAGAAAATGTTGCCTCTGGAAATAGTCAAGGGCTTTATTTCATTAAAATAATGATAGAAGATTGCTGCATAAGCCTTGTAAAATGAGTGTCTCCAAGATGCTTTAGAAACCATTAGTTTTTAATAGGGATTTCATGGCTGCTTTAGCTCTTTCTCTCAATTTCATGTCCTAGGCTCATAAAAAGGAGAGCATTGGTAATATCCCTTCCATGTTTCATACAAAGTATAGGACACCTTAACATGAAAACTAACAGCAATTCCACAGGTATGAAAGCTGCAGTCTGGAACAGAAATTGAACTTGGACTTGGCAGCATGGCAAATGTTAGTTCCTGCCTTTGGAACCAAAAGAGTTCCTGCTTGTTGATGCTGAATAGCAACCTGTCAGCTATAGATGGTGACCATATGTATAATGTAAGTGCCTTAGTTGCACATGGAGGTAAATAATTGCTACACTCATTCTTATTAATCATATCATTATATCCCTTGAGGGGCATGAGTCCATCACGTTAACATGATCCTGATTTTTTTCCACTCTTTTCCTTTTAATTTCTAGGTCGCCAAAGTGGCTACAGATGGCAAAGCTGCCAGCTACTGAGAGGATATTTACAGCTGGACAGTTGTGAGACAGAGCAAGCCTGGTGTCTAAACTAGGCTGATGGTCCCCCTTTAAATCAGAGCAGAATTAGTGCTTTGTGTAATAATCCCAAACAGTTTCTGCTGAGTGAGTCCCAGCAAAGCTTTAGCACATCCCTTAAGATTATGGGGTATGCTTTCAGTGTGATCCCAGAGGAATTAGGCAGGCAACTTCAGCTATTGGCTTAACGTAACTTGTGCTGCCAGCCTTGCTGGAAAATGTATCCTTCTCTAATGGAAAAAATGCATTTCACACCCCTGTCACCTCTCCTTCCCCATTTCTCTCTTCTTCCCAAACACCCCCAAAAGCAGTCTTTGGAAAGAATATTTTAATGTTATCTTTGTTTTAAGCCTTTATCAAATCCTGTTTTGTACTCTGTACTGTTACCTCTGCCTAAGATATTGCGGTGATGGAACATAGAGAAACAGATGACACTGAAGGAACAGTGTTACTATCATTTCAGGTTAGTCTAAGAATTATGGGTATTAAACCTAATTAAATACTCTTCGTTATTAAGGAACTTATACTTTAATCTGTATAGTTCTAGTGTCCTTGCCAAATTTTAAATGGGTTGCTAATTTGGAGTATTGGAAAGAAAAGGGGAGTGATCAGGAAAGGTGCTTCCAGAGTTGTTATCCTTTCACTTACATGGTTTTGTCTTTCTCATTTCTAAGGCACTTTTGAGTAGTTCTGGAGAGGAGGTTGTCAGTGTAAATGGGGGTATGTATTTTTACAAAAGCCTGTCTGATGAATGTTTTCTCCCCCACACCGTGGATTGCCCTTAACAGGATCAGTGAGTCTGTTGTTATGGAACTTGATCCCTTTGAAAACTCATTAACCCTGAACACTTAGATTTGCAGCCCTCTGCTTGGCTGAAAGGACTCCTAGTGCAGAGAGTCCCATGGTTTATTTGCTTGGGGTACTCCAGGAGAGTAAGCAGCAATAATTCCAGAGTTGGACCTACATCCCTTTCTCATGCAGTCACTTGTAAACATATTTTTGAAATCTTTCTCCAATTTTCCATTTCATTTCCAAACTAGCACACTAACTTAGCATTTTTCTTCCATCTTCTCAGTCTAAGACCTGATCTTCTCCTCAGTGCTCCCATTTCCTTCTTTGCTCGTTGCTTCTCCGTGCTCTGGCTCTGCTCTTGTCCTGGAGATCCATGGCAGGGCTCCCACGACATTGCTGGGAGCCCAGTGAGGTGGGGAAGGCCCTTGGCATGGAGCTCATCCCAGCTGCTGTGCGTGCTGAGGAGCTGCCTCTGTTCAGGCTCTGACTCTGGGCAGCTCTGATGGACCCCCAGGATCAGGCTGTGCCTTCACCTGCCACCCTACCCTGTCCTTGTGCCTTAGAATCCGTTGCAGAAAGCCCCTGTGACAAAGCCTCATCCTTTTATTTTGCTCCTGTTGCAGAGCTCCCAATGTAGAATTCCAAAGGGAGAACCTAAGTGTGCCCAAGAACTTTGATTGTAATGTGCTTTTACTGCAGATCTCTGGCTGCTGTCCTGAGGCTGTTGGATACACATTCGAAAAAGGGTGAAATGGTGGAACAAAATGATTATGGGAAAATCAAAGCTTTTAAAGACATTTGTAGGATGAACAGATGTTCAAACATTCTTTTATTTGGTTTCCAGACAGACGTAGAGACTTTCCTTTCATCCTCATAATCAGTGCATTATGCTGTAATTTGTAAAAATGGCATTAAAAAAATATTAACAGGGTCATATTGTGATCTACTGACTCTGTGTCATTAAGCCGTGAAGTTAAGAACGGCAACTGGGAACACGGGTTAAATGTTGCAGAATGTACTGTACTAGCATATATTGTCAGACTGTGTTATAATGAATCCAAAATAGAATAAAGATGTGAGGAGCTTTTTAATACTGCTAAGGTTGTCAGTGTTGCAAAACTAGAAATTATTACGGCTGTGCAGATGTTTGGTGAGTAATACATCTTCGGGTTGTGGGGAGAGTAGCAGGGAGAAAAGGATTGTTTTTACAAGCCTGTTTTCTACTTTTCCTTGGAATTTATTTTGGGACTGCAGTCTGGCTTGTGATCATGCCAGAGGTCTGGAGCCAGGAGGGTCAAAGCTGCGCTTATGGTAGCAAGGATTCAGTAGGTGGCATCCTTTGCTTGGAATCAAAGCTGAGTCTCCCCACCTAAAAAGGGGGTTTTCACTGGAACTGAGACTGAAGGGTTTGCATCAGGCTTGCAACCCAGCTCTTGAAGAACGGCTTCTGTTAAAAACTACAATGCATTTAATGTCTGGGACAGAGCCATCAACTCCAATCTGTTGACCAAAGCCTGAGGCAGCAGTGTCCTTTCTGTGTATGTTTCTGGCTCAGCTGAAAATAGCTCTGTCTCTTAAATCCTCTGATAGTTGGTAGCAAGTAATTGACTATGGAAAAGTGAGCCATCTGCACCCGGGGAGTTCTTGATGTGTGCAAGGCATCTCTTTCTGGGCACTAGCACTTTCCTTGCCAGTTGGACTCTGCAGTTGAACAACCACGGGGTGGTAAAGCAAAATGAGAGCCCACCACAGCTCATGGGGAGTTGCAGTGGTGAAGCCACAGTCCAGCCCGGCACTGTTTGCCTCTCACTGCTGGGAGAGCAGCTCTGTGTTTACATCTGCAAAGTGCTCTGGCATCTTATGAAATGAAGGATGAAAGGCAGCAGAGGAATGCTACCTTATTAGCAGTTTCAAAACCCCTTCATGTTTCCCTTATAGTTTAATATCCACACTGAGCTGGAAAGCTCTTCATTTACAAACACATGAGTTTTACACAAACTTGTTGAGGATATAAATAGAATTATTTTAAGATAGAGCCTAGCACTGGGAGCTAACCTGCCAAGCCTGGCAGAAAGGGAAGGACTGTATGACTGCAATCTGTTGTAAGGCCAGTTTTTCTAAATGATGGGCACCCAGGAGGGGCTTGGAGAAGCTGAGTTTAAGTGAGATATTGGCAGTGTTCTGGAATTCCCCACAAATTCTCCTGCTGTTCTGTGCAAACAGGGTTAAAAACATCAGTTTACCCTGTCGACCATGTATGAGGAAAAATAGTACAGTGGATCTGCTTATTTCCCATTGTCAACACCAGAATATGGAGTCTTTCTCACGTTTCCTGCTGTGCTAGTTGAAGTTCCAGTTGTTGGGTTTCCATTCCTCACTAAGTGCTACAGTTCTTCATTTTCATTTGTGAGTCTGATACAAGTGCCTTTCCAAGATGGTGCAATCAGTCTGCAAGACTTGGATCATCCACTTCCCCTCCAAGGTAACTTACTTGGCAATGGTGAGTCCTCTAAGGAGCACCTAAGCCATAAGTTTCTGATATGCATTTGTATACTTTTTCTAGGAAAAGAAAAGGAGAGAGAATTGATGAAATTCTTATCTTTTTGTATTTCACAGTCAACTGTGAAAGGAACTCATTGAACAGAATCAGAAAATACTGCAAGATCTTTGGTAATTCTCAACTCTGTACTGCTTTACAAGGCACATTCTTAAAAATGAGACTGTCTTTTTTGCTATTGAGTCCTTGCCACTCCTGCCTGTTCTAGTTCATATTTCTTAACCAAAAGGTAATTTGAGGTCTGGACCAAGTGCTGCTAAACTGACAACCCCAGCAGTGAGTGAGGTGCCTGCTAACACCCTTGCACTGGCATTTTGGCTAAACTGATCTGATTACTTTTGATTCTTTAAAAAAGCTAGGCTCTTCATTAGCTCTAGCATGTTCTGTTTAGATCAATTTCTCCTCCTTTGAGTGGAAGTCATGCAATTTTCTTGTGTTTTGGTTGATCATTTTGAGATTTCCCAAGGGCCTCATTGATGTCAATCAGAGAGACTCCATCCTTTTTGGACCACAGAACTGGTTTTATTAGGCTGTATGTGGTCCCCATTCAGATGTGTGGGAGCCAGTTCTTTTATACTATTTTCTGTGAAAACTGATATTTTAGTGCCTATAACTTCAGTCTGACAGTTAGGAGTGATCCATGCCCTCCTGGTGAATTCATTCCCAAAACAGCATTCCATAAGGACAAGCTGAAACTTAGACCCCACACAGAGGTTTTGCCTAAATTTCTTAGTTATTGCTAAAGTAAGCGATCCATCATCTAGTTTTCTTTCTTAAGCCTCACTTCAACCAAAGCTGACTTGAACTCTGCACTTTCTGAGAACATAGTTTTGTTACCTGGAAAGGTCATGGTCTTTCAGAAGCTCTTCTAGACACTGTTAAGTTACTGAAATATTATCTGCATTAGTGCCCACCTCTGTTAACTGGATATGGGAATTTTTTTTCTGCAGAGTGCTGGTCATGCTGTCTGAGGACAGTTGAAATGCAGATGGGGTACTTAGTTACTTATTGTGCAGGAATAACTAAAATTATTCTCCCCTAAACGTCAGGCATCTGAGAAGTGTGTTTTCTTGAGTGCATCTTACTTGTTTCATCTTTAGATGAACTAAGGTAAGTTTCAATTGCTGATGAATGTGGAAGGGAAAAGGAAGGGATGATTTGTGTCATCTTGCTTTTTAAACATATTATTGGGGAGCTCTAGCAAGAGAAGCATTCTGTTCAGAGAGAAATGCAAATCACTTTATACCTCAGTGTTGGGGGAATTTTGTGTTGTTTTTAACTGTGAACATTGATCTGTGCTTAGAATCCCACTGGGTGAGTGGACAGTTTGGTCTCCATCCAGTTCTAAATTGAGCTGTAAATCTCATTTGCCATCTGGCGAAGCATGGCATGACTGGACAGTTTCAGGCAGAGGTCTGGATTTAGAATAGTGGAAGAACAGAGGTTTGCCAGATTAGAATGAAAATAGAACTGTCAGGAGCACGAAACTCAATGAGAGGCATGAGTTTAGGCTGAAATGTATTTGTAGAGACCTTACACTGCTGTAATGATGGTATGTGAGCACATTTTTTTAATAATTCTGTTGTTACAACAGATACATAAATGTTTAAGCATCACAGCTTAATGTGTACAATTTCTTTTAAAGCTGTAGTTGCTGTGAGATCAGTATGGAGAAAAACACAGAGTATTTTGATTTCTCAGTACTAAATGCTGATGGTATTTGACAATTTTTGCCTTTGATATATGATACATTTCAAAACCACATCATTATGTACAGCTTGCCTTCACTTAGGTGTTTGTGCAATGAATTGATGCCCAACTGATGGGAACAAAAGTGGGAGAATGAACTTGGTCAGTTCTCCACTGCCACATGTGGGATGTCACGGGGATGGACCTGAGTCTTCAGACTGTGGCTCCTGCTGCTTCTCTTCCCTTGCTGCCATGTGAAGGGCACTGATGAGTCTGCTGTTGCCAGCCTTGAGGGTAGTTAGTCCAGACTCCTCAGAACATTTCTTTCCTATGGCAAAAGTAAGAGGAAATCTGTCATAACTTTGTCTTTCACTGAGGAAATGCAGACAGAGTTTGTCCACATGGTCCATACTTGGTTTGGTCCATCTTCCAAAGGAAGCTGCTTAAATGAGTTGCCTGTGGATTGCTATCCACCCTAACATAGAAGGCTCGTGTAGGAATTGGTATTTGTGTCCCACTACTAAAACAGGCAGAAGTGAATTTGTGGTAACTTTGTCCACAATTATTTGTTTAAAATACTAACATTAAAGTCATTCACGAAAGAGCAGCAAAGACAACCTTCAATTTGTACATAAGGCTTGTTAATTTGCAACATTAGTTTTGCTGGTTAGTGTGGGGTGGGTTTTTTTCCCCTTAATTAGAAATTTTAATTAGAGCATGCTGTGTATTAAGATGTTAAAGCTTTGACTGGCAGTTTGGAATTGCAGAAGGATCAGCTCTCTCTGTAGGTTGCAGCACAACAGGGATTAGCTCGCACCCTCCTGCCTGCAGGTGTGTTTTGCTTCTTGAGTCAAATCATCAGGAAATGTTCCTGCAGGTAGGAAACATTCATCTTCCTGATCAGACCTCGTCTGTTCCAAAGGAGCCTGAGCTTAAGGAAGAGCTGCAGATTCACAGATCCTACACAAGGTGTAAGGACAAAGTCTCAAACCTGCATAACAAATAGGTCAATTGTTGGAGTGTTTCACCACCTTTGTCCACTTAACTCCAGTTGTGCTGCTGCCAGTGCAGGAAGGTTCCTTGTCTTTGGAGATCAGTTGCTGTGCTGGCCCTTCTGCAGCTCCAATTTTCAGTCCTGTAAAGAAGAAGAGCTGCCTGAAGAGATTTCCCCATCCCTGATGTGCTGATCTGGGCTGTCTGAACACGCCATGCACAGTGAGTTGCTGGGTGTGAGGCAGCCTTGTGGGCTGATGTATTTGGAGTTGCTCAAGCTCCCTTACCTCATTTTTCTTCTCTCTTATTTTAAAGCAGATTCAAGGGGAGATAGGATAGATTTTTAAACATTAGCATTTAATGTTTCCAGCATCACACTCCTGGAAAGTACAAAAACTTCTGCCATGGATAATTACAGAATAACCTATATAAGGGAACTGTTTCCCCAGTCTCTTCACAACTAGTAGATATCTTGTGTCCTTTGAGCCTGAAAATTTGTATTTTTGTTCTGTCTAGAGTAAGTGTGGGTTTTTCTGTTAGCCAGACAAATACACAATCATTTAAAAAAACTGCTGAAATGCATTTTCCAAGGTATCTTGTGGCATTCTAACCCACAAGCTAATTACGGTCCTGCAATTATAATTTGCTATTTTGAGTTGGTTTCATGTTCTGCTGGAACAGAAGTCGTGATTTCCCTTATTTCGTGCTGTTTATCAGATGTCATCTGTCTTCAGAAGTGCAAATCTTTGCAACCTCTGTTGGTATAGAAAACTATCCATGCTCCTAATGGTTTTAGTTAATCAATATGCTCTTCCAAATGAAGATTGATAAGTAGCATTTTAATAATTACAATATTAT